ACACGACGACAATATAGTTCAAAGACATCGAGTCTACTAGACAGCCAGTAAATAAACGAGTCTTTACAGCGGAAGGTTCAAAGGATTAAACCTACCTCTCTGTATACAAGGATCATCCGGTGAACACAACGTGTCCTCCTATCTTCGTGTCTTTATTTTCCGAAACACACCCAACAATTATCAATAGGGTGAATTTAATTTTAATATTAGTTGATCAGAAAATGTCGACATTGCAAATCAATTCGGAACGGAGAGAGTATTTTACTTGGCACTACAACTCCGAGTTTCACCATCATCATGGGTGAAACAATGTTTATTATGGCTTTCAAAGTTTTGTTAAATCTTATGCTAGCGGTAGAAAGTGCTCTACCAAAAGTCTTTTGTGTAACACAATGATGACCATTTATCCAACAATAAGTAAAAATGTCACAAGTGTTTCTTCCACACAAATGTAACATGTATGCCGAAGTTGTATTTTTTCCACAATGATGCTACACAGTTTTAGTTAATATTGTATTTATGTAATTAAATTTAGTATTGGATGGGTTTCCTAATAGAATCCTCAATATACACTCCCTCATGCTTAACAATAATAAGTCATTGAGCATGCATGCGCTAATAAAACTAACTCCAAGATCCCATTAACATTTTCACTAAGTGTTTGCCTCATTCATCTTCCATTTCGTCCAACCTATACAAACATTCTTAAATTTAGCACTCCATGTTTGAAAAGATAATTACAGATGGGCTATCATAACAATAAATATGATAAGTAATTAAAAATAAGACAACATGATATAACTATTGAATAAAGAAAAAAAGAAAATTTTTTTTAGCTAGAAATACCAGTTGATCAACAAAAGCGTTCGACAAGAAAGGTTCAACAACAACTAAAATTTCATGAAAAGTAAAGTTTAGAAAGCTTCCTAAATAAATTATAGTCTTTGTTGATGTTATAGTTTACCCACTCTTGACTCCCTTGAGGTGACATTTTAAGAAAAGCTTCTTTCATTTCAAACTTATATATGAACACAAGGGTGAAGGACAGTCTACCCGGGGGGTATCTTATCCGAGGGGTTATTGCGGGAATAACTAGAGAGAAGTCAGAGCAAATAGGAGGAGAGAGAGTCGATTGTATTAAATGAACTCAGCGTGGTTTACAAGGAGAATAAGGGCTGCTATTTATAGCAGCAATAAATGCGATGAGAGTACACGTGGCGACAATCCAACGGCCGAGGGGTCACCTCAATCGGGTGGCACTGGCAGTCGCATGTGCACCGCATTGAATGCGGTGGGTGGATGTGACGTCGCATTAAATGCGGTGGTTGCTTGTCTCCAAAGGGAATCTTCGATGATTGAGTTGTTGGCCGAAGGCTCCCCCTTCGGCCGAGGGCTTTGTATAGCCGAAGGCATGGGAGTGCCGTAGGCTTTCCTGACGAAGGCTCTGTCTAGCCAAAGGCACCACGTTTGTGCCGAAGGCTCCTGATAGCCGAGCGCTACTGTTTTACGCCATTTTCTCCCGGTAGCCTCGTATGCTCGAATCTGGCTGCCCTGCGTATTTTGGAGCCTTCGGCCAAAGGGGCCGAAGGCACCCCAGTGTGTATTTTGGGCTTCTTTGAGACTTGGGCCGCTGTATTTGGGCTTCGAATGTTCCTTGGGCTCAATGGGCCTGTGTAGGAGAAGTAGGAGTCTATGGGCTGGGGGTTCCCGGGCCATATACTCCATCAAAGGGCTTTGCAACACGTGCTATAAATCTATAATCTAAATCTGGAGTCTCTCTCTAACGTCTACAATTCCATGTGTTGTTATTGCTCTCTAATTCCCTTTTCACCCTCTCATATTTCTCCCTGTCTTTTTCTCTCTTCTCCATCAATTTCCTCATTTCTTGAATGTCGTTAGTAATGTCACCAGTATTATCCATCCCACAAGCAACCTTTATTTGAAATTCAGCTCGAGACGCAACATCTTTTGGATTAATAGATATCCCTTCACATTGATCTGTGGTTCACTTTTTTGAACCACGTCACTATTTCTCGAGGGAGCTTCACTTCTAGTTCCAAATGTAGGAGACAAATTGAAATTGTGTATTGAATCTTGTTGGGTCGAGATGTATCATGTATGCGTCTTGAGACTAAACACACACACACATAGTCTTCTATTGAACTGCAAGTATCCTTTTCAATACCATATTCTAGCATCTGACTCTTAACCTAATCCAATTGAAGATTTTCCTATAATTAATGCATTCCCAACTACTATTTGTAAATCTTCATAGTTGGAAATCAAAGGTATCAATATGAAGATTCCTATGAGTAGGATGAGGCTACGGAAGTGAATAACACACACAACTTTTTGGTGAATTGAATTATTAAATTATTTGGGAGATACGTCTATCAAAATCATTCAAGATCCAAGTTTAGGATGTTTGGCTTTTAATAGGCCTATCGATCAAATTCCAAGTTGAGGACATGGGTGGTCATGATCAGAGACGGAATGAGAATTTGATTATACTGGTACTAAACTTGATTTAAAATGTAACAATTTGGAACGAGACGAGACAAGACATAGTCCTTTTGTTGTTCCATTTAATCTAATACTGGGAGAAATCGAGATAGTTCGGAACATCCCACAAGAAGTGCAGAGAAAAAACTGCAACACAAAACTAAAGCAAGGCAATTTGAAAAAAACACTAATACAAAAAAACTTTAGCACACAAAGAAAACAACGATAAAAAATGTCAGACAACAAAACTGCTACTTACCAATTGCAAGAAACAAAACTGCAACAAAGAAACAACTTTAACTCACAAAAAACTATAAAAAAATCTACATAATCTCCGCTAAAACAATATTATGAGACATGAAGCTTTTGAGAGTAAAAATTAATAGTTTTTTATGGATAGATGTTAGTTCATAACTTCATACTAGAAAGTTCAGAGCTTTTTATGTGTCTGGCATGTTAGACAACTAATACCCAATACTCATAGGTATTTGTGTTGTGGAATAAGAGGAATGTTACTATTATTTGGGGTTTGGACTACACAATGAGCTGTGCAGAATCCAGTGAACCATCGAGTCTTTGAACGCAAGTTGCGCCAAGGCCATTGGGCTTAGGACACGTCTGCCTAGGTGCCATGTGACAAAAAAGACTGTACAAAACGATGAGATGAAACGAGACACATTTTACTTGTCCCAATTTTGTTCAATTTTGAAATGGTTCGAAACTGGTGCCAGATGAAACTAATGTATTCAAATATAATAGAACAATTTCAGAGCGGGATCAGAACATTCTGGAACGGACCAATGGGACTGAATCTTTTTCCCACCCTATTTGAGAATACTAGAATATTGATGGAATTCCAAATTCCGTTAGAATGAATGTTTTAGACACCACATAATTAAGAGAAAATTCCATAAATAGGAGTAAAAACATTTTGAAATTTTAAAACAAGTTCGGAACATCCCACAAGAAGTGCAGCGAAAAAACTGCAACACAAAACTAAAGCAAGGCAATTTGAAAAAAAACACTAATACAAAAAAACTTTAGCACACAAAGAAAACAACGATAAAAAATGTCAGACAACAAAACTGCTACTTACCAATTGCAAGAAACAAAACTGCAACAAAGAAACAACTTTAACTCACAAAAAACTATAAAAAAATCCACATAATCTCCGTTAAAACAATATTATGAGACATGAAGCTTTTGAGAGTAAAAATTAATTTTTTTTTTATGGATAGATGTTAGTTCATAACTTCATACTAGAAAGTTTAGAGCTTTTTATGTGTCTGGCATGTTAGACAACTAATACCCAATACTCATAGGTATTTGTGTTGTGGAATAAGAGGAATGTTACTATTATTTGGGCTTTGGACTACACAATGAGCTGTGCAGAATCCAGTGAACCATCGAGTCTTTGAACGCAAGTTGCGCCAAGGCCATTAGGCTTAGGACACGTCTGCCTAGGTGCCATGTGACAAAAAAGACTGTACAAAACGATGAGATGAAACGAGACACATTTTACTTGTCCCAATTTTGTTCAATTTTGAAACGGTTCGAAACTGGTGCCAGATGAAACTAATGTATTCAAATATAATAGAACAATTTCAGTGCGGGATCGGAACATTCTGGAATGGACCAATGGGACTGAATCTTTATCCCACCCTATTTGAGAATACTAGAATATTGATGGAATTCCAAATTCCATTAGAATGAATGTTTTGGACACCACATAATTAAGAGAAAATTCGATAAATAGGAGTAAAAACATTTTGAAATTTTAAAACAAGTTTACCATGTTTTTATTCCCTAATAAAATAATTTCTGTCAAGTTTGACATAATCAAGCTTCAAACATGATCGTTTTTATCCAAGCTTGGCAAATATTGCACCTATATGGGAAATAAAAGCAGGAAGGTTCTATTTTGAAATATCAAAACATTTTTAGTCTCATTCAAGAAATTTCTACATTATTAACAATTAACATTGACGATCATAATATTGTATTTCACCAAAATACTCAAAAAATGAAACTGTCAAATAGGTCCTCGAACTTTCATAAAAAAGTCAATTAAGTCCTTCTATAGGAGACTTTGTCCGGTCGTCGCGATTTGGGGCGGTTCCCGGTGGAATTTTTTGATAAATTTTTTTGAGCATCTTATTCACCAAGTCTAGTTTATTCATACCAAATTTTAGCTAAAAATTTAATCGGGAGCGCATTCAAATTAATTCGAGAACGCAAAAATGCGCAGTTATCTTCAAGAATCAATTTGAATGTGTTCCCGATTGAATTTTAGCTGAAATTTGGTATGAGTAAACTAGACTTGGTGAATAAGATACTCAAAAAATTTCATCAAAAAAATTCCACCGGAAACTTCCTCAAATCGCGACGGTCAAACAGAACCTCTTATAAAAGGACTTAATTGATCTTTTTCTGAAATATGAAAGTAACATGAAAGGCATGTGCATGCGGCTGTATACGATACATATCCTCCCAAGATCATTGTACGGTTTTGAGGTGGGAACCGGGAATCAGACGACAACAAAATATGCAACACGACTCTCTTCTTCTCTGACGTATAAGATGCTCCGTATTTTTTTCACTTTAATAATAATAAATGCGACTTTTATTGTACGCCAATTTCAGCTAGTCTCCAATTTCCCACTGCTGTAGGCCAAACTGCTTAACGGCCGCGGCCTGCCATTTCAGACGCGCTTACCATTCAAAGCAGCGACTCCCGGCGGCTTGAATGCTGGACTGCGGTGGCTGAAACGAGCTCCTCTCCACCAATTCAATGGCCCGGGAGACTGCCTATGCCTCTCCGAGCTCTCATGACCTCAGCGCCGGAGCTGCCTACTCTTCTCCTCCTCCTCCCTCTCGGTCCTGGTCTTCCTCCTCCGCCGCCATGCGGATTGCCCGCCCTGTTAAGGTCATTCCTCTGCAGCATCCGTCGACCACGGCGTCGTCCGCGCCGTGCGTTACGGGCTCCGTGTTGTCGAGGTGGATCGAGAAGGTAAAACGGATGACGTGGACGGAGTGGATTGAGATATCCTTGCCTTGCTATCGCTGGATTCGAAAGTACGATTGGAGACGGGACTTGCAACCTGATCTCGTTGCCGGCGTCACAGTTGGGATCATGCTCGTCCCTCAGGTCTCTTTCTACACATACTTTGATTTCGGAAATGTTCCAGCTGCGTATAATTGAACTAAATGAATACAGAACACTAGGGAATTTTATATGTGACATCTTATCGCAAGCATGAATGTATTTCATTGATTTATTTCATTTGATTACGGGTAAGGTGGTTTAGTCCGGCTATTGCGGCCGCTGTGATACTTATGGCCGACGCGGTGTGAATTATTTTTACGTTCGAATGAAATAACTAAAAAAATTAATTTAGGGTTGCGTCTTGTTGCAGCCTAATGCGGCTCGAATGTGTTACGTTGCGGTTTCGGCCGTGAATTAGAAAAACACCGCAATTCCGGGGTGATGTGGTTATGCCGCGGGCCGCAACCGCAATATTGCAGCCGCAACACGTGTTGTGGTCTACAATTTAATAGCATTGTTTTAACCAAGAAAATAAGCGTATGAGTTCATTCCTCTGTCTTAAAGCAAGTTTGAGTTATGAATTTATGATCTTTGGTCAATGAAGCTTGTATTGAGCATTAGATTTGGTGTAAGACAAAAGTTATAAAGTACTCCCTCCGTCCCGAAATAAATGTCCTGCTTTCCTTTTCGGTCTGTTCCAAAATAAATGTCTTACTTCTTTAACTTCCTTATTTGGTAAACAAATCTATACCACACAGTGTCAAACAGTGCAAAGCAGTGCTAAACAATATCGCTACACTGGGAAACAGTGTCGCAACAGTGCCAAACAGTGTGCAGTCAAATTCATTTTCTTAATCTGTGTGAAAGTCAAAGCGGGAAGTTTATTTCGGGACGGAGGGAGTACCTTTTTTGGGGTTGCACCGTGAAACAGCTTACTGATCAAAGCGCTTGAGAAAATGATGATTGAAGTTTGAGCCTCCATACAATTATTTTTACCTTATCGTGAGTGTCTAGTTTTATGTGTATGCGTGCTTTGTTTTCTTCAGTGTTATCCTTAAATTTATAGGTTTATATATCATGCACTGTCATAACTTATAATAGTATGCTTTTAAAGCAATCTGTATCATTTCGATTGTCCATTGATCAAAATATCAAATTGCCTTCGACTTCATTTAAATTGAATATTCTAATCATGCTGTTATCTGAACAGTCAATGTCATATGCAAAGCTTGCTGGACTTCAACCAATATATGGACTTTGTAAGTAATGCTACAAATTTTTGCTTAATTTCTGTTTCAAAAAGAGGGAAGTTTATTTTTGACTATTTTTAACTTGAAAAATCTGAAAATGTTTAAGGATAGTGTATTGGTTCTCGCTGAAACTCTATTAAGTTTACATGATCTTGCTTCATTTGATTATTATCATAGAAGTTTTCCCATTACTCTATTTGCCCACATACAATAATTTGAACCTTTTGAATTATGTAACATTTCTTTCTGCACTTGTCTATCTTTATTTTGCCATTAGTCATGTAGGAAGATGTTCTAGCTACACTAAACAATTGTGAATTTCGAAGTTTATAAATGGCAAAGGATGTTAGAGCTGTTGAATAAGTGCCACATTATTTAAAAAAGGCCTAATTGACTGGTATTCCTTAAAACAATTTGTGTTCATAACTGCGCTCTTTTGTTTCTGGATTTTGCAAGTCAGATTCTGGTTTTATCCCCATATTTGTTTATGCCATTTTTGGGTCATCTCGCCAACTTGCTATCGGTCCAGTTGCATTGACATCCCTGCTGGTCTCAAATGTCCTGAGTGGCATAGTAGACCCATCAGACAAGTTATACACGGAGCTTGCTATACTCTTAGCCCTCCTGGTTGGCATTTTAGAATGCATTATGGGGATCTTAAGGTATTTTGCTTGACGGTCAATACTCAGTTCTAATTCAAATAGTTGGATTGTTTAAACTTTAAACTCCAAGGCAACAGGCCTGCTTATTGTATGGTTGTTTGGTCTTCATGGGTGCCATAAGAAGTACTACCTCCGTCCCACTAAGATTGGGACGAGAGAAGGTGGCACGCTTATTAAGAAAAGTAGGTTTGTGTGGTTGATATTAAATTGATAAAGTAAGAATAAAGTTAGAATGATTTAGAACCACACAATCTTTACCAAATATATGGTATGGGACAATCTTAGTGGGACTTCCCGAAAAGGTAAAATGAGACAATCTTAGTGGGACGGAGGGAGTAATTATTTAGGGGGTGTTTGGATCTAATTCTTAAAACTGCTTCTGCTTCTTCAGGGAGTAGAAATAGAAGTTGGAGTGTTTGGGTGAAAGTGCAGAAGTGATTCTGGTGCTCTAATTTACTCCTAGAATCAGTTTTGTTAGAAGCTGGGAGGACCAACTTTTGAAAACTGATTCTGATTCAGCTTCTGTTTTAAAAAAGAAGCAGAAGCAGAATCAGTTCCAAACACCCCTTAAACTAGTAATTTCGTATTTGATTCTAATTTATCAATTACCGCAATAATCTTGAGTGGGCTTAATCGTGCCACACTTTATAGGGTTGTCAAATAAAAGAGTGCAACATGCAAATACGACTACTTTCTGAAGGTTGAGAATTTAGCTATAAGTTGATAAGTTGCTCATCAAATGTCTACATTGCAATAATAGCTTGTGTGGTGATAGATGTTCAATTATCCACATCTTTTTAGCTGTTCGAAACATCATTAGCTCACTTGATATCTAGATATCTTGAATTTCTTGTGTAACTGTAATTTCTTTATATTGGTTGCTCATATTTTTAACTTCTTTTTTCTGCACTAATTCAGGCTTGGATGGCTCCTTCGTTTCATCAGTCACTCTGTAATTTCTGGTTTTACTACTGCGTCTGCTGTTGTTATTGCTTTGTCCCAAGCAAAATATTTCCTAGGCTATGATATAGAACGTAGCAGCAAAATTATTCCACTTATCAAGAGTATAATATCTGGAGCAGATAAGGTATGACTACTTTCTAAAACACTCCATGTGTAGGATACTGATTACTGTGTTCTTGTACTTCACTCCTTATGGAACTAATGTTGGCTGATATTATGTGTAAAATAAAAAGTTTACACTTCTTGCCTTAGAATTGCTTTCCCATGGATCTAGTTGAAGGGAAAGCACCAAAGATCCTCTAAGAGAAAAGCTAAAACTCTAAGCTTCATATACTGACATAGTTGGATAAGGTGATGCTCAAGGCTAGGAGTTCGAATGTCACCTCAATGATGTAACAACAAAAAAGTTTTTCTTAAACTCACCACTCCCTCTAGTACAAGACCTGGGGTGGTTATTAATGCCCAATTGTCCATACATCATGGTGCATTGTCATATGTTATTTTGTGCTTAGTGTACTGCAAGAAGAAGTGCTTCTAGTTATGTACCAACTATATTTTATTTCTACAGTTTTCCTGGCCACCTTTTGTGATGGGCTCACTTACGCTAGCTGTTCTGCTTAGCATGAAGCACTTGGTATGGCTCTGACCTTTATTTACTCCCTTTTCCCAAAATTTTCTTCCAATTTGACTTTGCACACTTAATAAAAAATGAAGTTGTATGGTTAGGTGAAAAGATTAGAATCAATATCAACCACACAAAACTTTCCTAAAGGAAAAAAGTTTTCGGACATCCCAAAAGGAAAGTTGAAACATAAATGTGGGACAGAGGGATTGTTTATTTCTGTCTCATCAGTTTATGTTTATATTTTCTGCTAGCTGCTTATTTTCATTGCATTGGTCTGTAGGGGAAATCAAGAAAGTACTTGCGGTTTCTACGAGCTGCTGGTCCTCTTACAGCTGTTGTTCTGGGTACAATCTTTGTGAAAATATTTCATCCGACTTCAATTTCATTGGTGAGAATATAGTTAAACTAAATAACCGTATTATTCATTTAAAAAAGAAAAGGAAAAATGAAAAGAATATTAACTGTAACCTGCATTAGATCCGAACAAAAGCTAGTGGATGCTCACAATTAACATTCCCTCTGCCCCTTTTTAATTTGCCCTGTTTAGTTTTGCATGCAGTTTAAAGAAAATAAAATTGTGGTTGAGATTTCTTAGAATGGAAGTAATCTGCATAATTATTTCCATAAAAGGAAAGAGAAAGATTAAAAGGGACAGAAGCGGTATTTTGTAGAGTGAAGTTGAACTTTTTATTACTTCGAATGTTGGAGTATTGGACTGCATAGGCCTTAGTGCCTTACCAACGTTCAATGCTTCTTGGATGGGGACAAAAGCTAAAGTGGTAGAGAGGGATTTACAAACCCATTTTTTCTTCACTTACTAGGGCTTGGTTGGTAACATGTGAAGTAGCCAACTGTCGAAGACTTGCGATGAGATTATAATGTTTTTCAAGATTTTGCATTTCATCAATTGCTGTGGTTTATTTGTTGACTGTAAGAATTTTAACTTTAAATCTGAAAAAATCAGTTATCCCTCATTTATCACTTGGACTGTTTTGTTCCTTGTTTTAGGTAGGTGCAATACCACAGGGGCTGCCACAATTTTCTGTTCCCAAGGAATTTGAGCATATAAAGATTCTGATTTCAACGACAATTCTTATTACTGGTGTTGCTATCTTAGTAAGTAAGATATAAGCATGTACTTACACGTACCACCTCTCTTCTTTTGAGAAGCAAATTCGGTTAGATATACATTTTTGAATGTGTAGGAGTCTGTAGGCATCGCCAAAGCTCTGGCTGCAAAGAATGGATATGATTTGGATTCAAATCAAGAGGTGTGTTTTCATGGAAGAAAAGTTTCATGGCTTATTTATTCATCTATATATATATTTATTTATTAGAGATTAGAGGTAATCGCCTTATCAGACACATATATATTTAACCCTTCCAATTTATGTCATCATGTTTATAAGTCTTTGGCCCGTTTACGACTTGATTGTTTAGTATTTAGGACATGCTGCACTTTTAGGTAACTAACCTATAACTATACAAGTGTTCAAACTCCGCCATGAGGCCACTATGTGATTCATGACAGTCTTAAAGCAGGATAAATGAGGAGGGTGCTGTGTTAGGTGGGTGATGACCAGCCATCGCATGACATGAATAGAAATATTAATATTGCTACAACTAGAACGTCGAGAAGTGGCGCGTCATCCCTATGCCTTGGGTGGTGTCAAATATGCAAGGGTGCACTATACTTTATAAGTTTATGTGAGGCGATAAGTATGCTAAGTCGTCATCCATAAGTGACATGCCACCTCAATGCTCGTGGATGATGTCAAATATGCAAGAGCATAGGGTGGGGTCGAGGTGGTGATTGGAAAGAGGGTGGTTGCACAATGGGACATGGAACTTTGAGTCTCTTATGGGAAGATCATATGGGATAGTTGAGGTTTTAAGGCAGAGGAAGATTAGCATTATGCGTGCGCAAGAAACTAAGTGGGTTGGAGAGAAGGTTATAAGTTTTGGTATTTGGGAAAAGATAGGAATAGAAATGTGGTACTCATTATCGTCGCGTGTGAGTTTATTGGGAATGTTGTGGAAGTAATTAGAAAGAACAGCTGCATTGTGAACATAAAATTGGTGATAGGAGATGAGATTGTGTCGGTGGTAAATGTCTATGCACCAAAAGTGGAGTTGGATGCATCTGTCACTCAACAATTATGGAAAGAGTGCGACGAGTGCATAGGGAAGAGAAGCTCGTCATAAGTGGCAACCTCAACGTGCACACGGGCTTGAGTCATGATAGCTTTTAGATGTAAGTGGTCTGGTGAGTGCCAAGAGAAGAGAAGCTCATATTAAGTGGCGATCTCAATGGGTACGTAGGCTCGAGTCGTGATAGTTTTGAGAGTTTCCATGACAGATATGGTTTTGGCACTATAAATGAAGTAGGAATGAACATTTTGAATGACTTTCCAGAGGGTGAAGTGGAGAGACAACATACGTGTAAAGTAATGATCTTATATTCTTGTCTTCCTCTTTTCTATCTAATTTTAATCGTATGTTGAATTCATGTTAGCCGGCCCCAAATTGTTTTTGGGGACAAGGTTTGAATGTTTTTGCTGTAAGTAATCTGTAACATTCAAAGTGTTCTACTGTCTTATCAGTTATCAAACAAATTAGATTAGTTTCTTGTTCCACTCCAACCAAATAATAAAATCACATTGCAATGTGTTGTAATACAAGAACTGTCATGTTATTTATATAGTTCCCTTAATCCCTTTTTCTTTTTGGTTCTACACTACATGTTCAAAGAATCTCTTATATGACTGATTTTTATTTGCAGTTATTTGGTCTTGGTGTGGCCAACATTTGTGGCTCATTCTTCTTATCATACCCTACAACAGGTGAGATTTCTCTGTGAAATTCCCATACTTCAAAATTTTTATAATGACAAGGAATATATATAATGCTTGATGACTAAAAATTGTAGTTTACTTCACCATTCTATTTCTGAAGGAAGCTTCTTTTTTATTATTTTCTTAAGGCTCTTTTTCCAGGTCTGCTGTCAATCATGAAAGTGGAGCAAAAACTGGCTTATCTGGGTTCGTGATGGGAATTATCATGTGCTGTGCTCTTTTATTTTTGACCCCATTATTTGAATATGTACCTCAGGTTGTGGTTTCTTGTCTGATCTGTTTCACCATTTAAATCCAATCATTCATAATTAGTGTTTGTTTACATAAATATCTCAATATAAAGTTTTGAGAGCATTCTATGACCCATATGTGTGTATCTCCCTTTTCAAAGTTTGCTGTCTGTTTGAACAGCTTTACTAATATCTTCCTAAAATTTCACATAAACAGAATATATAAAATGATCAGTTGCTAATTGCAGCTTTTAATCTTTATTCTGCTGCAGTGTAATCTGGCTGCTATTGTGATCTCTGCTGTAATTGGGCTGGTAGGTATATAGCTCACTGTAAGATAGAGTTATTTTCATTTACACAGTGACTATTGGCTATATTGATGGTATTGAGTTTCTATGCCCGAGGTAGATAATATTTTAATTTAGCCGTTGATAATAGTTGCGAAAATACTCCATGTTCAATGGAGCCAAAGACTCATTATATTTTGGCTTTAGGAATAGGATGAAATAAAGCAAAATGGCTCACTAAACTGTCTGCGCTTCTTTGTTATGAAGCAACAATCAGTCCATGCAATTTTTGACACGATTTTCATGATGAGTCATCCGAAAACAGTCTCTCTGTGCTTTAGTACAGGGGCAAGGCTGCGTACTGGGATAATGTTGTTGTTGTATAATAGTTGCAAAAATATGGCTATGCAAGGTGACTTGTATTTTTTTTTTATGCATTTTCTTTAATTTAATCAATTGGACTAGGAACAATGATTCAGTCTTGATTTGAATTGTCAAAACCATGAGTTAATATGAAGTAGTGTTGAGTCACTTGGTGTTTTGGGTTATGTATTTGTGCTGGTATCTTTTTTTTTTTTTTTTTACTTTCATTTGTTTTTTAATACATCACAGAAAAATGTCTGGTGTTTCAGTTAAGATAGCATTCTACGATTTCTCTTGTTTTCTAGGTATTACATTCTTAGCAGTGATGAAGGAATCTCCTGCATTTTCTCCTTATCATAAGCTCATAGTGCTGTCATACTGTGAACCAATTTTGCATGATGTGGTGTCCATATTGCACTATCCCATTCTGGCGATTATTTTGAATCCAGGTGGATTACGATGAAGCTATATTTTTATGGCGTGTTGACAAGAAAGATTTTCTCCTGTGGATAATCACATGTGCTACAACTTTATTGCTTGGTATAGAGATTGGCGTTCTTATTGGGGTTAGTGCATACATATATATTGTTTGTTAAAATTTCAATTAGATTGTTAAAATTATGGTTTAAGTTAATAAAACTTTTAATAATGGATTATTATTGCTACCCACCTCTTAGGTCATATAGACCAATAATACAGAACTGTTAGAGACCTCCAATTATCCAGAACAATTACAGAGATTATATCAAGAAACAAGAGAAAATTTGTATTGAAGATGATGAACAGTACAGTAACAAGGCCGAAGCCCCCCAAAGATAAGAGAAACAGTCTTCTCAGATCTTCCCAGTCCCAAGACCTAATGTCTAAAAGCCCTTCCCTACTAACCCCTCATTACATCTATTTATACTAAAATACTATATAAGCCCTTATTACTATTATTATTATTATTATTATTATTATTATTATTATTATTATTATTATTATTATTATTATTATTATTATTATTATTATTATTATTATTATTATTATTATTATTATTATTATTATTATTATTATTATTATTATTATTATTATTATTATTATTATTATTATTATTATTATTATTATTATTATTATTATTATTATTATTATTATTATTATTATTATTATTATTATTATTATTATTATTATTATTATTATTATTATTATTATTATTATTATTATTATTATTATTATTATTATTATTATTATTATTATTATTATTATTATTATTATTATTATTATTATTATTATTATTATTATTATTATTATTATTATTATTATTATTATTATTATTATTATTATTATTATTATTATTATTATTATTATTATTATTATTATTATTATTATTATTATTATTATTATTATTATTATTATTATTATTATTATTATTATTATTATTATTATTATTATTATTATTATTATTATTATTATTATTATTATTATTATTATTATTATTATTATTATTATTATTATTATTATTATTATTATTATTATTATTATTATTATTATTATTATTATTATTATTATTATTATTATTATTATTATTATTATTATTATTATTATTATTATTATTATTATTATTATTATTATTATTATTATTATTATTATTATTATTATTATTATTATTATTATTATTATTATTATTATTATTATTATTATTATTATTATTATTATTATTATTATTATTATTATTATTATTATTATTATTATTATTATTATTATTATTATTATTATTATTATTATTATTATTATTATTATTATTATTATTATTATTATTATTATTATTATTATTATTATTATTATTATTATTATTATTATTATTATTATTATTATTATTATTATTATTATTATTATTATTATTATTATTATTATTATTATTATTATTATTATTATTATTATTATTATTATTATTATTATTATTATTATTATTATTATTATTATTATTATTATTATTATTATTATTATTATTATTATTATTATTATTATTATTATTATTATTATTATTATTATTATTATTATTATTATTATTATTATTATTATTATTATTATTATTATTATTATTATTATTATTATTATTATTATTATTATTATTATTATTATTATTATTATTATTATTATTATTATTATTATTATTATTATTATTATTATTATTATTATTATTATTATTATTATTATTATTATTATTATTATTATTATTATTATTATTATTATTATTATTATTATTATTATTATTATTATTATTATTATTATTATTATTATTATTATTATTATTATTATTATTATTATTATTATTATTATTATTATTATTATTATTATTATTATTATTATTATTATTATTATTATTATTATTATTATTATTATTATTATTATTATTATTATTATTATTATTATTATTATTATTATTATTATTATTATTATTATTATTATTATTATTATTTCTATTATTAAACTAATAGGTAGGTCCCTATCAATACTCCCCCCCTAAACATCCACCTTGCCCTCAAGGTGGGCGGTAGGAGACAGCCAGAATCTTCTGCTTCTTCCTCTTCCTTGCTCCTCTCCCTTCCCAGTACATAACTGCTTGCTGGACCAGAAGCTTTGGTATTTGTTCCTTCCAAATCACTGCAATTTCATTTGTTGCAGTAGCCTCCAAGCATTCACTAGCTGCAATTGTTTCCTTGTTTTCATCTTCAAGGATTCTCACTTCTGGAGTTATCAATGTGTTGGATGCATATTTGATGTTATTCAAGTTACTCAACTCATTGTCTGCAACAAGCCCCATGCAATTTTCTCCATTTACAATCCACTCTGTCAGGCAGTTAGTATCAATGATAGAATCATTTGTAATAGCAGGATCTGTCTTATACAACTTCAACAGCCAACATAAGTGGTGCACAACAATGCTACCATGCGATGTCAGATTTTCTAACTGCCAAGGACCCCAGTCTGGCCTGTTTTCTTCTTCCCTTTTCCTCATAAGAGAGCCAAAAACTCTTGCAGCTAAAGAACGAACTTCAGGGACCACAACAAACTCCTTTATGTTATAAACCTGTCCCTCAACATTGCTGCCAAGAGCAAACTTATCTGTCCATTCCAATCCAAAATCTGCAGAGCTCCAAGATATAAGCTTGACAAGCTGGCATTTAAAAAGACAGCATTCTTGACTAAATGAAACATCAGTTGAAATACAAAATGACTGCTCATAGGTATCTATTTCCCTGTCATCCTTAGCTTTGTTTTTGGGAAAAAATTCAGTCAATAGCTCTAGATAACGAGCAGACACACCACTTGCACATTGTACAATGATACAAAAACTGTCAGCAATATTAAATTTACCCTTTATTATCATCCCAGGATTGACCTCTGAATGAGTGAAAATTGATCCTTCAATTGCACTAGTTTGTGGCTTATTATTCACCAATCACATTGCCAAGGCATCCCATAATAACTCAAAGCCTTCACCGACCAGATTTTGGTCCTGACTTTGAGTATAAGCAGCACACTTCTCCCTCCATGGAAATGATAAGTATTCTGTTTCAGCACGAACAAACACTCCTATCCTTTTTGACTTATCTGCGTTAGTGACTTCCTCCTCCTGCTCTTTCAATTCTGACAACTTCAACTCAGTGTTCATCATTGGCGATAAAGTTCCCTGTGATCCATTTTCGTATACAGCTTGGTATACAGCTTGGTCTACGGCTATTAAAATTGATGAAGTGTGCGCATGGTAAGGAACTGCTAGAGTCGACAACTGCGAACTGAAAGAGACAGAATCTGCGAACGATAAAGGTGAAAAGACCTGCAAACTCAGGGAAACAGCTTGCGACGAAGATGGGAATTCTTCTCTCACTCGCGTCTTTCTTGGACGCGAACTGATAGCCGGTGAAGAATTCTGAGAATGGTGAGGCGAAGAGCTAAGAGAAGAGCTATGTGAGGAACTCTGCGAACAACGATGCTCAACTGTCGATGAAGTTGACGATTCTCCTCTCACTCGCGTTGGACTTGGTCGTGAACTGCTGGATGATGATGACGTTCGCGACTTCGAACTGTGAGAGGAAGTTCGAGTCCGCGAACTGTTAGAAGCCTCTCGCGATGAAGATCGGTGCGATCTGGGAGCTTCTTCGCGCGACACAGTCTGCGCACTTAGCGATACCCTGGGGCAATTAATTCGCATCTGCGAACCGAAGGTCGTTGTTGACGAATGTCTTCTCGCCTGAAATTCGTTCATCGCCTCTAACTGTCGGGTCATCTTTTCTGCCATTTTTCTCATATCTGTTAATTTCTTCATCATCGATGTCTGCTCCCTCTCCAGCGACTCCATCCTCTTCTCCATTTCTGGTGTACAAAATTCTTCCATGATTCAGATTCTTGGTCTCCAGGAAGTATGGCTCTGATACCAATGTTAGAGACCTCCAATTATCCAGAACAATTACAGAGATTATATCAAGAAACAAGAGAAAATTTGTATTGAAGATGATGAACAATACAGTAACAAGGCCGAAGCCCCCCAAAGATAAGAGAAACAGTCTTCTCAGATCTTCCCAGTCCCAAGACCTAATGTCTAAAAGCCCTTCCCTACTAACCCCTCATTACATCTATTTATACTAAAATACTATATAAGCCCTTATTACTATTATTATTATTATTATTATTATTATTATTTCTATTATTTAACTAATAGGTAGGTCCCTATCAAGAACTGGATACTTAGACTAAATAATATTCACAACCCATTGATAATTTATCAGATAGGTGATTGGGTGTATCTTGGGTTCCAAATTTATTTATTGTTGGACAGGAGCCAAATATACACCCATCTACTATTTCGAATATATCACTTTAAACATATACTCCAAGAAGTACGGAGTATCATATAAGCCCTCTATAGAAGAAACCCTTAATCTCAAGCATGTTGATGTTAACAACTTGATTTAATAATTTGAACTTTCAAGTAATTGTCTAAAATTCTTTGGAAGTCAAAACTATATTTTACCACTGTCCTTGTTATATCATCCCCTCAGTAAAAACAGCATTTTAGAAAGTCAAAGAAAAAGTTTATATTTCCTTCAAGTGCCTGCTATTCAAATTAGGAAGTTATTCAAAGTACGGAAATAGTATAAAGTATAAACTAAATTTATGCAAAAAACACAGTGACAAGTTTTATGTCAGATATCTTATCACATATTAAATATCACAAGACGGTGATACATTTAGATAATGGGTATAGTCATGCTCAACTAGAAGATTGATATTGTAGGATTAACATGCCAATGAGCACATCACACAGCAGATGCATATAAATAGAGAAAACAATTTTCTTTTTCTTTTTACTCTTAGTGTACCCAAAAAATATGCTTCCCTTTTCCAGCCAATTTTCGCTTTTGGACACCGAATAGTAAGTACTAAGAACTACTCAACTACTGATCCTCACACACAAAAAAGTGTTGCTTGTAGCTGGATAGTATGACATGTCATAAAGACATTAAGATTGGTTACAGACCCCTTTTATTCTTTAATGGTAAATAAAGTTTCAGATTGGTTGGTGCAGGTTGGTGTTTCACTTGCTTTTGTGATTCACGAGTCAGCAAATCCACATATAGGTAAGCCCGCCCGTCTAAGGAGATTAAAATAACTTTTTCAACATATTGACTCTAATCTTCCAACTAATTCTCAAGATTGATATCCACTCATTGTAATTTCTCAATTTACTCAGCATTTCAGTATGATTTCTTTTAAAGATATTACTACTTGCCTTCAGTCTTGATTAGTCAATCCATTTAACTTGCTCTCAAATGCCTTCTGGCCTCAAAAATTCAATTTCTTTTTATGTGCTTGTGTGTTTGTGTGTGTTTGTAATGTGTTAATCTGTAGATTTACCTTATTTGATGGGCAAATAGTTTTGTAATGTGTTAATCTGTAGACTACTAATTCTTCATGTATGGTTATGTCTTGTAGCTGTCCTAGGCCGGCTTCCTGGAACCACTGTTTACAGGAATGTTCAACAGTACCCTGAAGCATACACATATAATGGGATCGTGGTAGTTCGAGTCGATGCACCTATTTACTTTGCCAACATTAGTTACATCAAGGACAGGTGAGTACATGTCTTGTCATTGTAATACACCAAACCATATTTGATGTGCCAATTCTAAAACAAAAAAATGATTTGAAGGTCAGTTTTGTCGTTTCTCATTCCATTATTCCATTATTATCAGGTTACAGGAATATGAAATCGCAAAAGCTGGATCCTCACGCCATGGGCCAGAAGTATCAAGAGTTCACTTTGTGATTGTTGAGATGGCCCGTAAGTTCCTTAAGGTCTGTTTGGGTGGAGAGTTTTATAAGGGAAGAGTTTGGATGGCTTAGTCTTTACATCAATATAGTCTGTACATGAATTGAAATGTTAATTAATAGTATAATTAGTTAAATATTATAAGAATTTTTGAACGTAGTCTATATCTTGATAGACTTTCTAAAAAAGTATAAATGATATTTGGAACGGCCTGAAGAGGTAGACCTACTAGACTTAACCCTTCAAAACGCTCACCTCGAAGCCTCTCCTTTCAAGCTGACCCACTTGGTAAACTGAGTTGCAGCAGATCTTGTGCCCTTACCTCTTTGTGGACTGTTGTTGCTAATGCACATTTCTACCATCTATTTCAGCTGTTACATATATTGATGCTAGTGCAGTTCAAGCTTTGAAAGACCTCCATCAAGAATACAAGTCAAGGCACATTCAGGTTAGAATATATCTTTAATGATCGTTGGTTACACATTTGTTATTGATATTATTATCCCAACACGTCCTGACCTCATTTCCAATGGAGCGAAAGACTCACTATTTTTTGGCTTGGGAATATGATGGAGTAACACAAAATGGCTCACTAAACTGTCTGCGCTTATTTGTTATGAAGCAGCAGCTAGTCCATGCAATTTTCGACACGATTTTCAATATGGCCTCATGGATCATCTGGAAATGATCTCTCTGTGCTCAAGTACAGGGGTAAGATTGCATACATCCGCCTCCCTTACCCCACCGTAACAGCACTGGGATAATGTTGTTGTTATACAATATACACCTCCTGACCTCAATGTTTTGTTCAAGCTTTATTAGCCCCTCCAGTCCTTGTTTTAAGGCAGAATCGACCAAATTATACTGTAATTCACATCTCGAATTCAAAACTTCTTGTGAACTATACTTGCAGCTAGCCATCTCCAATCCAAATCAAGAAGTTCTGCTGACTCTAGCTAAATCTGGAGTGGTTGATCTGATCGGCAAGGAGTGGTACTTTGTCAGAGTCCATGATGCTGTCCAAGTTTGTCTCCGGCATGTGCAGAGCTTAAACGAATTCCCTAAAACTCAAGAAGTGTCACCATTGGAGGACAGCCCAGGTGCATTCCAAAGACTGCTGAAGCATAGACAGGATGAATTCTCAATCCCCGAGCTTGAGTCAGGTGATCGACATCCTTTTGACTATGGTTATGGAGACCCTAAACTGGAGCCACTGCTCTCTAAAAAATAAACTGGCACTCCTTGGTTTTTAAGTACATAGTTTGTACCACTAAATGGTCGTTCTAAGCTATTTCTAGATTGGTTTTTAATGATCAAAATATGAGGCATTTTATTGTGTACTTTGGTATACACATCCTGACCTCAATTTTTTGTTCAAGCTTTATTAGCCCCTCCAGTCCTTGTTTTAAGGCAGAACCGATCAAATTATACTGTAATTCACATCTCGAATTCAAAACCTCTTTTGAACTATACTTGCAGCTAGCCATCTCCAATCCAAACCAAGAAGTTCTAGGACATAAATTGCCAAAGGTATATTCCTTGGTTGATTATAGACTTAAAATGCTCTTTTCAATTTCCATCAAATTAATATTGCATTCGTCTGATCATCTCTTTGTGTTCCTAAACTTCGAGTCATTTTGGCTACCAGTAATCTATCAAAGATATATGCACATTTTCCTTTGTGTAATGGTTCAACAATGAGGCTTTTCATTATTGTAACTTATTTGCAAACAATATAAATCATCAAACATAAGACAAACAAGTATAGCTAGTTTGGATTTTTTTCCTCTCTAGTTTTTTAGGGTGGCTGCACTGGCGGCACTCTTAGATGACAACCTTTGATTTTTTTTCTAGTGTTTAGTTTTTTAACTCTGGATTTTTCCTTGCTACCAAGGTTTGACAATTTTTTCTTGCCGTGCCTTCCCATGACCTTTGTTTTGCCCATGATTTTCCTGTCTGACTTGATTTTGACAAGACCAGAAAATACAATAATTTTTATGGTGATATCTTACTTCGGTTAAACTGTATTCTTTGAAGGCGATTAAGGAAGATGATAATTTTGATTTGTTGGTTGATAATATTGTGATGATTAATTAGGATACGATAGTTAGGTAGTAGGACTGTAGGAGGTGGTTTGTCGGTTTGTCCAAATGGCCTCTCAAGTTTACAGCTTCATGAACATGACCTTGCAAAAGGGATAGTATAAGGCCATGATAGGGACCTACCTATTAGATGAATAATAGAAAGAATATTAATAATAATAATAATAATAGTAATAAGGGTATATGAAGTATTTAGTATAAATAGACGAAGAGGGGAGTTAGTAGGGAGGCTTTTAGACGCTTTGTCTTGGACTGGGAAGATTAGAGACTAAGGGCCCGTTTACTAACAGAGATATTTTCCTGTTTTCTACTTCTGTTTTTCGTTCTCCAATTTTCTGTTTTTATTTTTCAGTTTTTCTATCTCCAATTTTCGGTTTCTATTTTTTAGTTTTCCATTTTCAAATCTGAAAACATGTTCATCAATTTTTTCACCCAGTTATCCAATTCCACACCCTTGACCCCTACCCTTACCATGATCTTACACTCTACCCATACTCCCCCACAACCCTTCATACCCACCCATACCTACTCGTAGGGGTCGGGGTAGGGAAGTTATGGGTGGGTGTGGAATAAGGGGTATGGTCGAGGTGGGGTGGTAAGGTCTAGGGGTTGGGGGTTGGGTGGGGGTAGTGGGTGGGTTAGGGTTGTGGTTAGGGGTAAGGGTGGGGTAGTGGGTAGGGTTTGGGGTAAGGTAGAGGTAGGGTATGGAGTTGGGATAGGATGGCGGTAGGGTGGGGGCCGAGACCAGGGTGGGGCTGAGGATGGGAAGGGGTAGGGGGTGGGGGTAGGATGGCGGTAAGGGTGGGGGTAGTGGGTAGGGTTGGGGTAAGGTAGGGGTAGTGGGATAGGATGGCGGTAGGGTGGGCCCGGGATCTGGGTGGGGCCGAGGTAGGGAAGGGTAGGCTGTGGGGTAGAATGGTGGTTGGATGGCGGAAGGGTGGGGGCAGGATGGCGGTGGGGTGGGGCCGAGCTAGGAGCATGTGGTAAGGGATAATATACGGGTGGGGGGTATGGTAGGGTGGGTTGGGGTGGGGTCGAGGTGGTAAGGGGTGGCGGTAGGGTAGGGTGGATCGGGGTGGGGCCGGGGTAGGGGCATGTGGTAGGGGGTGGGGTAGGGTCATTATAGGGGAAATGGGTATGCGGGGTTGGGTTGGGTGGGTAAGGTAGGGTAGGGAAGGTAAGGTAGGGGTAAGGGGTAGGGTACAGGATGGAGGTACCGGAATAGAATCGACATCCAAGCGGGACCGGACCCACCAGTAGGTGTAAGTATGCAAATTCATTGCATCGGCACTGTAGCATCTGCGTTTTCCAAATTTGGAAAACTAGTAAAAGTCACTTCTCCAAATCATTCAGGAAAAGAGAGACATGTCTCATTTTTTCCGTTTTGGAAAACGATTTGGTAAACACGTTTTTCTTTTTTTCTTTCTCCAGTTTTCCAGGAATTTCTTTGGTAAACACGTTTCCTGTTTTCTGTTTTCTGTTTTCCAGTTTTCTAGTTTTCCAGAAAACTGGAAAACTGGAAAACTGGAAAATATCTCTGTTAGTAAACAGGCCCTAGTTCTCTCTTTCTTTGGGGGCTTCGGCCATTGGGGGATTCGGCCATTGTTCTTGTTACTGTACATCTTCAATAAAGATGACCATTGTTTCTTGATATAATTTCTGCAATTTCTGTATATTCTGGAGGAGCTCTAACATTGGTATCAAAGCACGTTACTTCCTGGAGACGAGAATTTGAATCATGGAGGATTTCTACATGACACCGCAAATGGAAAAGAGTTTTGATAATAAGGACCGACAGTTGAAGGAGACAAACGCTAGGTTAGCCACGATGATGGCCGATATGCAGGCTAGCTTCACGGAAATGATAAACAAACTGCTAAGTTGATCGCGAAACCGATCACATACGTCACACTCTTTGCATCGCGACTCTCATCGTCGTCACACGATAAAGTCAGCAAGTCCAGAGGAATCAGAAGAGCAGAGGCATCACAGAAAATCTGGAGACCGATTGAGGACGACTAGGTATCTTCTGTTACCTGACAAACAAGGTTCGTCGCAGTCGCTCACAGGTTCGCAGTCGGAGTCGCGAACCACTTATGTTAGTTCGCAATCGCGAATTTCTTCTCACCGTTCGCAGTCGTGAACAGAGTCTTCCTCATTTTCGCACACATCGCATCACACTTCTCATCATCGACGTACACAATCGTGAACTTCGCATCACCGTTCCCGAACCCCATCTTCCAGTTCGCAATCGCGAACTTCTTCATTCCGTTCGCAGGAATCATCGCTAAACAAGCAACGAACAACAACCGATGGTCTCAAAACGCAGACATCCCCATCCGCGATCAACTCACCTAACAAGGTATCGCGATCAAGAAAGGAATCTTCTGGCTGGCCAGTTTGGTCGCAAGATATTCCTCACCCTGTGCAAGATTTGTCCCAGTCAATAAAGAAGATTGAGATGGAGACAACTGAATCTGTAGGTAAGAAAAGGAATAAAAAGGACGAAATCGAAAAGCAAAGACAGGTTATTCAATGGCCAAATTATGTTTCTCCTATTTTTGCAAACGATGTGGGTTTAATTTCCCTGGAACAAAAGAGATCTGGTCCTGTGGTTCTCGAGGATCGTGTTTATCCTTTCTCTGGAGAATCATATGCTAATGTTCAAATTGGGGCATTGATTTCACATGGAGGTTCACCAACTTGGATGAATGTTATGAGTGAAGGAAGACTTGTTATGGATGATAAAGAGGCTGAAACAGCAGTGTACAATCAAAAATTGACTGTTGGGATGCACTCTTCTATTATTTTTTTTTTGATCATATGCACTCTTCTATTATGTTTAAAGCAATTTTTAAAACCCAGGTTGAAGAGGGACTTTCTGCTCCTTATAATTCAGAGGATTATCAAGAATATTCTCTAGTTGCTACTTCTGCTATTGTGCATCTGGATGGGAAGGGTCCAATTAGTTGTGACTCACCTGCCAACTTAGGGGTGGACTTTGTGGCAGGAGAGCTCAGAATTACAGGTTATATCTTTGAGAAAACAACAGGAAGTTATGTGGAACAAAATATTGAAGCCAATGAACAGGTGAAATTGAAACAAGGCTTGAAGATGACAATGTTTTCTTCTGGTTTACCTGCTAGGACGCCAATTTTAAAAGTTTTACATGGGATATAATCTTTCGTGTTCCTTAGTTAAGAGAACTGCAGCTGGAATAATGCATATAATTACTTGCTTGCTAAAACCTTTAAGATTTTCCTTCTCAAATGAGGTAGGTAAATAATTGATAGCGGGAGAAGCTGAAAGGTACAGAAAAAAGTTTGCATCCAGTACAGTACTAATTTCAGAAGATATAAAATATGAGGGGTTGCAAAAAAGTGAAGAAATAATTTGTGCTAGGGACTACTGGATACTGACTGAGCCAAATGAAACTTCATCTCAAATCTCTTCTACTCCTGAAAGTTCTGTGATTTTAAAAGGTATCGTACTGAAGTCCCTAGTCCATCAACCCGTTACGTATTGGGAAGGAAGAGGAGCAAGGAAGAGGAAGAAGCAGAAGATCCTGGCTGTCTCCTACCGCCCACCTTTAGGGCAAGGTGGATGTTTAGGGAGGGAGTATTGATAGGGACCTACCTATTAGATGAATAATAGAAAGAATAATAATAATAATAATAGTAATAAGGATATATGCCGTATTTAGTATATATAGATGAAGAGGGGAGTTAGTAGGGAGGCTTTTGGACATTATGTCTTGGGACTGGGAAGATTAGAGATTAGCCGTCTCTATCTTTGGGGGCTTCGGCCTTTGTTACTGTTACTGTTCATCTTATTCAATAAAGATTACCAATCGTTTCTTGATATAATTTCTGCAATCTATGTATATTCTGGAGGGGCTCTAACAGGCCATAAGCTAATTCAACTTTCAAGAGTTCTGTGATATTTCGAGGGCGGTCTTTCACGAGAGGTTTTACTAGATAAGACTGATTTATTTGTACATGTAGAATCACAATTTCCATATGAATGTATGATAGAAAAATAGTTCTTATAATAGAAATTAAATTATTTGGGATGCTTTGCGCAAGCTCCCCCACAATTTAGTTAGAACATGTCTGCTTAATGAGAATTTGGGCGATGTTTAAATCCACTTGCTAATATAGTTTGAGATGATCCCAAATTTTCACATCATTAATGGAATCATGAGTCATTCGAATTGAATTTACTCGTTAGTGATTGCAAATGAGCCTTGATTAGGAACTTAGGGTACCCTATTGGAGTATGCCCTTTCACCCCTTTGTTAGGGCCTTGGTACGACCTTAGTCACAAGGAGTAGCTAATTAAACAAGACAATAGTTGAAGAAAAATAGTCAATATGAATGCACAATGACTAGTTGATTTGTCGCTAATACATATTGATAAATTCATATTTCATACCAATAATCTATACTTTAAGCGTTTCTATAATATTAATAATCCCTACCGAAGATATTAATAAACGGCTAAAGGGTCAAATAGGCCATTGTACCTGTCGAGTAAACTCAATTCAGTCCCTGACTTAAAAAAAGGTTCAATTCACACTCTGAATTAGAAAAAATGGTTCAAATCCTGTTGTAACGAGTCACCATCCAGTCACCCACCATGTCATCGGTCAAATTGCCAACTATGCATCTAACTTCAAAACTGAAAGCTCAAATAAGTCCCTGAACATGTTCAATTTGTTCAATTAACCCCTCAACTTTAAAAAAATTTCAACATTGAAATAAATTTAAAATAAATTAATAGATATATATAGATTTAGGATCACATACAAATTAATCCTAATTTACAAAATGCAAACTAATCCTAACCATTGATTTTAATAATGTGACGGTCAAGTTTCCTATCCAATGCATTAATGGCTGGTCCCATGTAATACGGATTATAGGAGAAAAATTCTCCACTAATACGGATTGAGTATTAATGCTCAAATAAAAACTAACCCTTGATTTTGTTAAATTGGATGGATGAGATGAATTTGCATTTTGTACCGGAAGCACACTTTGTATCCGATCTTAACCCTATATATATATATATATATCCAACTATTGTCAACAATCATCCTATGCAAACTAGAGCCAAATCAGGAATTGTAAAACCTAAACTAAATCCAACTTTGTTACTTGCCCATGTTGAACCCAAGTCAGTTAAGCAGGCTCTTTCATCACCTCAATGGTTCAGAGCTATGCAATCTGAATATAATGCTCTAATGAAAAATAAAACCTAGTCATTGGTTCCACTACCACCTGATATACATGCTATTGACTGTAAATGGGTTTTCAGGGTAAAAGAGAATTTTGATGGCTCCCTAAATAAATACAAAGCAAGATTAGTGGCAAAGGGCTTTCATCAAAGGATTGGTTTTGATTTCAGTGAGACCTTTTCACCTGTTGTGAAACCAATTACCATAAGAATTCTCCTTACCTTAGTTGTATCTCATAATTGGTCTATTCAGCAGCTTGACATTAATAATGCATTTCTTAATGGACACCTTGATGAAGAGGTTTACATGGTTCGACCACCTGGATTTCAATCTGAAGATCCTTCTCTTGTCTTCAAGCTTCACAAATCCCTATATGGCCTGAAACAGGCACCTAGGGCATGGTTTCATAAACTAACATCTGTTCTTTATGCTGCAGGATTCAAACAAAGTATATGTGATCCTTCTCTACTCCTTTTTTCTGTCATCTGCCATACAAATCTACATTCTGATCTATGTAGATGACATCTTAGTCATTGGAAATGACTCCATAGCTGTTCAAAATCTCATCAACAAACTGCATACATCTTTTTCACTCAAGCATCTAGGAGAAATTGACTTCTTTCTTGGTATTGAAGTTAGAAAGTTAAAAGATGGCAGCATTCATCTATCTCAAACAAAGTATATTAGGGATCTATTGCATAAGGTTGGTATGCTTGACTCAAAGGGAGTTAAAACACCCATGGTGAGTAGTTGCAAACTCACCAACACAGGAAGTGATATCTTACCTGATCCATCTACCTACAGATCCATAGTTGGCACTTTACAATATGCTACCCTAACCAGGCCAGAACTTAGCTATGTTGTGAACAAAGTGTGTCAATTTATGGCCACTCCTCTACAGGATCACTGGAAAGCTGTCAAGCATATCCTCAGATACCTATCTGGTACTATCACACATGGTCTCATTATTAAACTTCTTCCTTTGAAAATCATGTCCATGCCTATTTCAGCATTTTGTGATGCTGACTGGGCTTCAGATCCCGTTGACAGGAAATCCACATCTGGTTCTTGCATATTTCTTGGTCCAAATATCATCTCCTGGTGGTCAAAGAAACAAGTGAAAGTTGCTAGATCCTCAGCAGAAGCTGAGTACAGAAACTTAGCAAATACTTCATCTGAACTTCTATAGATTCAATACTTGCTCAAGGAACTCCAAATACCATTCACTACTCCAAGAGCGTATTGTGACAATCTCAGCACTGTACAACTTGCACACAATCCTGTACTACACACGCGGATCAAACATATGGAGATTGATCTCTTCTTTGTCAGGGAGAAAGTTCAGTCCAAGCAACTTGAAGTTTTTCACATCCTAACTCCTCAACAACTTGCTGATGTCCTGATCTTCCAAATCAATCACCCTAGTTTTGAGGGGGGAATGTTAGGAGTAGTACACGAACTGTAATATTCTTCCTTGTATTCAGTTTGTTCAGTTAGAGCTGATATAGTTAGTTAGAGTTCTGTTCATGCTCCTGTACTATAAATACTTGTACTCGGTTTCAGAATAATGTTATTGGTTTTCATTTCTTCCAAATCCCTCTCATCTTTCTAATAATATATATATAAAATTATAAGATAGAGTATAAATATATATGGTAAAATTATTTATATTTTTCGGTTAACTCAAAAAATGAAAATAAAAATATAATAAAATGAAAAGATACTATATGTATATTTTCTAGTATGAATTGATATTGTAGAATCTGTTAAAGTATCGATTATTAGTATGAATTTCTCCTTTTATTATTAAATTGTTTTTGCATTGATCTAGTGTTATTTATAGCACTCCAATCATAAAGTACCGCATGTATATTGTGCAACATTCAAATACGGTGCTATTTAGATGTGCTAATATATACTGTCAATAATAAACTACTCCGTATGTAATTAGCTTTATGTTGTAATTCAGTTTCTCCAACTCTCAAGTAGTCAATATCATTATAACATAACTTCATTTAAGCTTATTTTTTTAAAAGAAAATAACTTAATTATTATTGATAAGGGTAACAAGAAACATAACAATAAAAAATCGAAGCATTACAATCATGACGTTCAATGCTACACTAAGGTGAGACGAAAAACAAAAAGACTCCATACATGCACTCTTGTTCACTAACCGTGCAATTATGTAGATTCATACCGCAGTGTGACTGCTCATGTCACTCAAGATGAGTCCGCTTTGACCAACCACCGAAAAAGAATTATTAACACTACTACAAAAATAAGTTTTGGAGTCGCACAAAAATACCCCTAATGCATCGCCTTTGGTGCGATGCATAAAGTGCCGATGCATAAAGTAAAGGTACCTATTGCATCGCTTTTTTAGCGATACAATAGTTAAACTTTATACATCGCTTATTCGGATGATGCGATTTATAAAGTTTTTTTTTAAATTAAATAATGGGCATAAGCATCGCTAGTTTAATGAGGCGACTCATAAAGTTTTGTATTTTTGAAATATAAGCATACACATAACAATCTCAAATTCAATTACTCTTTTAGATTGTACGTAGTATATATATTACGTTTGAAACCATGAATGACCAACAATAGCTATGAAACAGACTGATTTAAAGTTGAACATAGCAAAGATGATCTCATTTTATTCTAAACGTAAAACATACAATCTCAAAATGTCAATGTAATCTGAAAGTATAACAATTTGAAACAAAAGACGCATAAAACGAGCTGAACTGTTCCACACTCCATACAAATATAGATTGTATATCTAAAAAGTAATATAATCCAATCCAACTACACACAATGATTAATAAAATATTTAGCCCAAGTATCTCGAATCTCATTGATCTGCTCTTGAGTGTATGGATCTAGACAAAAGAGCTGCCAAATTCAAATTGAAGTTCCTATCAATGTTTAGAATAATGCAATAATATAAATATATAAATCATGTGATATAGATAAATACCTTTTGTATAGATCTTTTTTCTAGCAATCCAAGTGATATATCATACATAAATCCCATGACATAATAGCCACACTCATCTTTATGAGACTGTTGAGGACACTAAATAATAGCAAAAATCCAATTAGTACAAATAAAGACCATTTTATCAAATGAAAAAACATAAGACTTACTTTGACTTCAGTCCATCTTAGTGAGCTTTTAGATCCTTTGTTGATGTTTAGAGTCCTATAAGCCCTAAAAATTATAAAACACATACATGTAGTTATACACATGTAGATAGCATACAACCTTTCAAAAAAATGTAGATAGCATACAAGAATAACCACATAGATAATCATACTGGTAAAGTTATGGCAGGTTTTAAAAAAACAGGTGGTTCGAAATTGAAAACTGCAGTAAATATAATCAGAATTGGTGTTAGTTTGAGGGTTTGATTTGGTACTTTTACCCATATATAATTAAATCAAATAGTTAACATTAAGGAGTTTAAATTCTCTCTGCTACTCACAAATAAATGTGATCAAGGGAATAGAAGAGTATGTGGTGGAGAAACTGGTCGACCTGCATGATCAGACAGTGTAAATTTTTTATATATACTTATTCTCGCACACTCTTTTAAAGGTTCTACTTCTCTCAAGCATGAACATATAATTGGTTTAATGGGGAATCAATTTGAGCTAGAAAAATAACTTATACACCACTATTTTTAGTTAGGAGTGTTTTCTTAAATATTAAAAGTAAAAAAGAGTCATGGACAAAAATATATATATCAAGGAATAAATTCAAAGAGAATTGTACCAGATTAGAGTTTCGAGTGCAGCTATATGAAATATTTCTGTTGAAGAATATAGGTGGGGAGCATCCATCTTTCATGGCCATGAGCCCATGACAGACACTTCCAACCAACCTACTTTACCAAAAACACTACGGAGTATATACTAAGTCATTTCCACCTTTTGTGGGCATCTGTACATATTAGGAAGTTTGGTTACAACACCAGATAAGGAAAAAGATAAAGGGACACATCCTCCCCCCCCCCCCAAACCAAACTAAGTGTACAATTTAGTTAATTGATATGAAACAGCTTACATATTAAGGGAAATAAGGAACAGTTAATAAATTGTTTTTACAGTTAAATAGATTAAGGATCAGTTTACATACTGTAGCAATTTCATTCTCTTAGAGTCAGGCAATTTCGTTCTCAATTGCTAAATCGATTAAGGAACAGTTTACATACAGTAGCAATTTCCTTCTCCTTGAGTGAAGATATAACACTTTTATTCAATTTCAGACATACAACTTATCAAACGAAAATATATAGACAAAACTTCAAATAAAAATCTAAAATAATCTAAAAGCAGATACAGAAATCCAAAACTAAAAACCAATTTAGGTCAAAGAGAGAATCAACATAGAGGAATCGAAAGACATAAACGCAAATAGAATGTAAACATACCTGATCTGCTAATCGGATTGAAGGTTTGGGAATGTGAACGGTGGAAATCGCAGACAACAGAGGACGGTGGAAGTCGCGAAGCCGGAACGACGGTGGAAGTCGCGAAGCCGGAACGGTGTAGGACGGTGGAAGTCGCGAAGCCGGAACGGTGTCGGACGATGGAAGTAGTAAAGCTTCAGAGAAGAATGTTTTCAGTTGCTGTATTTACAAACGGTGGGGGGAATAATCTAATAACACCTGAGATCCGAAACTTGTTTATGGGAAAAGTTCAATGCTACTGATAGCATTAAGGTTGAAATTGAATTAAGTTTGTTAACGTAAGGTTGGATTGTTTAATTTAATTGAAATTGATATTCTGTACCTTTATGCATCAACTTTTTTTAAATAAAACGATGCAACATGTATTTAAAATTCTCGTAAAAGTATTTGCATCGCATTTTTAGTTTAAGCGATGCATAAAATAAATTTAAACATCGCTTAATTAATTTGAAACGATTCGTAAACTTTAAGCATCCCTTGAAATACAAAAGCGATACGTAAGGGGCGATTTACTAAGGTCATATCGTAGTAGTGTAAACTTTCTTGTTTTTTTCCGCCACCGATAAGGAACATAGCGCAGAAATTGTTCCGGCTTCACCAGCCATGGGAAAGAAAGAAACCCATGCAATCCGTTCTTCCTGGATCAATGGTGGTTTAGGAGGGAGACGATGAGTCTCTATATTGATGTAGAAGAAATCCAGATTCATGATTTATGAAGAAGGTGGTACACACCTCTTGCTAGCACATAAGCACACCCGACTGTTGATGGCGGGAAATATACATCTTGCGAGCGATACTTCATCACCGAAAATAATAATATCTCTAGACAACGCTAGAAATAAACGTATACGAGTATGTAGAACTGAAAAACACTGATTAAGTGAAACCTTTTTCATGATTGAAGCACAAAAATAATTGAAAAAAGAGAAGAAAAAAAGAAAAGAAGTGAAGGCGGAGGCTAGAGTTTCTCCATTGTCACTCCTCTCTCTTTGATATCATCATTTAAGCTAAAATTGATAGCCTGCAGTTTCGCCTTTTAACTTTAAAATCTTTAAACAAACAATTATATAAGTATGAATGAGGGTAAGGTTATTTTAGGTATAAACCTTTGTTGGTGTGAATTAGTTCACCTTGGATTTTCAACCCTTTTTCAATTCCGAGAAAATGAATTGCCAAGGATAATATTTAATCATAACCAATTTCAATTAATTTCCGACAAAAATATACGGAGTATACTTCATTCCGTATGGGCCGGTATGGCATAAATATAATATATAAAAATATATATGGAGTAAATTAAAGAAAACCTAAGTTGCTAGCCTGCTACACCTGCGCCAACATACACCTGCTAGCATAAACCTAAGTTAGGATGTTTTTTTGAATTGAAATTTGCTGGTCTGGTCTGGTCTGGCCTGAACTGGTCTGGTCTGGTAAACGTCTGGTCTCTGTGTATTTTATAACTATCCAAGTCTGGTCTGGTCTGTTCAAGTCTGGTCTGGTCTGGTCTGTTCTGTTTAAGTCTGGTCTGGTCTGATCTGGTCTGGAACTGAAAACAGTCCAAAAGAAAACATCCTTACTGCCCGTGTATATATATTTCTCGGAAACTAATTGAATATTATCCTTGGCAATTCAACTTGGAATTTCAACCCTTTTTCATACTCCTCATTGAATTGGGTGCTGCTAAAGCTATAGTAATATCAAAAATATCTTTTGTACACACTTTTTTGGTGTACACACTTTTAAACATGTCTGTGTAAGCTTTTTTGTCTGTGCAGACAAAATAGTGTCTGTACCAAGTCCAAGTGTATTAATATTAGTGAATGGAGAGATAGCCACCACTAAACTTCCTTGAGGAATCTGTTCTGACTCCCGTGTCTTCTTATTTTTGTTTTTATTGACTTATGAAATGGTACATTTTAATCTTATCGGATTCCACAATCCATCAATACTCTATTCTAAGACATCAAAATTAGTTTTAGTACATGTTTTTAAATTTATTTTTGTGTTGATGTTATGTAATACGGAGTATCATTTCAGTGCTTGAGCTTGCTGAGTATTATGATGATGAGTTTGGATGTATTAGGATCTTTGTGATAATCTCTTTTGTGTTCGATATGAATTCATACTAACTTGTGCAATTTGAATTTATGTCAGAAGGAAATTAATTTGATAATTAAAATGCTTTGAGGCATATTGACGTCTGACCGTTTATATTAATTCATGTTTTAAGACTACTTTTTTTTTCCTACATACTTCCTCCGTCCTTAAAAGTTGCAACATTAGAATTTTCCCACTATTCACACTACATCTCACTTTGACCACGATTTTCAACTAATATATATAATCAAATTATTATGTATGAAATGTTATTATATTTCTATTAATGTGAATTTCTAAAATATTAATTTTTTATAATTTTTACAAATACGTAATTAATTATAATTACAGTCAAAGTTGTGTGTTGGCAAACGTGAAAGTCAAACTGTTGCAAGTATTAGAGAACGGAGGATAATATTATGTATAAGAATGGGAGACACAAATTTTTCTGACTCGCTCTTTTAAAATGTGCACCTGGTTTTAGTTTTTTGGTTGCAGCAACGCATCAGACCTTAACATTTTCGCCATTCTTATAATTACATAGCGCGTCGCATAACTAGTACTCCAGTTTAATAAATGTAAAGAAACAAATGCTAGCGATGCCATATTTGAACAAAGACTTTGAATGTGCTTTATTGTTTAAAAATGGGTGGTATAAAACTGATTTAGGAGGCATCCCATTTCCAATTGTATATAGAATTTTGAAGTATGACAGATCATGTGAATCTACAAGTAAATGTGAATCTACAAGTAAATGTGAATTTTATATACAAAATGAAAAAGAAAAAGGGGCAATGTTAATCACACAAATCATTCCATAATAGGAAATGAGATGAAATGAAGATATTTTACGATACAAAATACTCCATCCGTCCCAATTTTGTTTGCAAAGTCAACAATTTTTTGTCAACCAATAATAAAAGTCAACCCTCCGTATGGATAATTAATTCAATTTTTAATAATTAAGATTTACATATTCATAAACTACATTAAAATCTTTTCAAAGGTGTAAACTCCAAATTAGAACATAATTAAAAATTGACATCCAAATTAAGTGAACAACACGAGATTGTTTGACTAAGAAAAGTCAAATTTTCATCTCTTTTTGGGACAGAGGTAGTACATTTCACTAATCACGCTTGACTTGACAAAGCAAAATACTTAAAGGGTAATTTTTTGGTACAGGTGATGTTTTCTTTTGGATTGTTATTAGTCCCAAACAAAACCAGTCTTAAACAGACCAGATTAAATCAGAACAGACTTAAACAGACAAGATTCGACTTCCATAGTTATAAAATACACATAGACCAGACATTTACCAGATCAGTTCAGACTTCAGACCAAACCAACAAATTTCAGTCGAAAAGAAAAGATCAATGATTATGATCAATATGCCCATGTAAAAATAGTAAAATATTTACATACTACCTCCTTTCTCTTTTAATTGCACTTTTTGCACTATTCACGTATTCTACATTGACTGTATTTTATTGATTAATGTATTATAAAATAATTTTTTTTTAAATATTGTTAAATTCTTCTCATTCTAAATTTTCAAAATATGAATTTTTTAAAATTTTTACTGATACGGAATGAAAAATATTAATGGTCAAACTTGTGCGTTGGCAAACGTGAAATGTTGACTGTTGCAATTAAAAAGGAACGAAGGAAGTATAATGGAACGCCTGTAACTTATTTCTGGATCCCAGGTAGCGAAGCAATCCTCAACCGCTCCCTTGCTCAGAATTCAAGCTTTTCCAAAAGTCAAGTTGGTATGTCATTTCAAATAAAATTGTTAAACATCTACATAAGTCAAAGACTAGAACATTTGAAAACCTTGATAAAATTAATGTATCACACAATAACATCAATCATTTTAAATTTAAAGACAAGATTAGTTGAACTATATTCATAACCCCTCCACACATTAATTTCATGTGGATTAATGATCTATGGTGTTATTTCATATGATGAGTCACTATTCTTCATTCAATTTTCATCTAAATTTCCAACTTCAGATGAAAATCTTGGATGAGATATGAGTGTAAAATCAATGAGTTTGAGGAAAGTACTAGATGCATCATATTATCGTCTTGGATACTAAAATAATGGGTGTTTAAATAAAAACTATATACATATATGTATATGTTGGGTGTGTTTCGAAAAACAAAGAAAATTAACTAATAAAAATTAATTAAATAAAATGACTTTAAAAAACAAGAAATGAGATGAAGCAGTATAAGGCAAAGCGTTGCAACGATCGTTTCCCAGAATACGATGACTACGAACAAGCATATGGAATGGCAGAGGTGGTTTTTGCTCTGAAAATTTGT